GCTGCCTCTGCGGGGAGAACGGAGGGGTCAGCCCGGGGATCACGGTGGATGCAGGGGCGGCCCTGGGTTGTCCCCATCGCCTCCCCCTTGTCAATAACCGGACATCCACCCGGCACGCAGCGCTTTGAGAAGGGGTTCAACCATCGTCCATCACTCAGGGAAGGGGATAAGACCCCTCAGAGCCGGCTGGGGTGTCCCAGACCCAGCAGCACCCAGTGGCTGGCACGCCCCACCCATACCACCAGGGATGTGATGCTCACACAGAGCTGAGCATCCAGGATGGGCATTCCCAGGAATTTGGGGTCTGAAGGCAGGTCCTCCTGCCACAGGGAGCTGCAGAGCATTGTAGGCGGGTGCACAGGGGGCTCTGGCTTACCTTATGTTTGGGACATCTCAGAGAGAAGCTCTCCTCAGTTAATAAGCAGCCTGTGAGGAGAGGACAAGGATGTATGAGGGGACAGCCTGCACTGCAAGGGGGGAATGCAGTGTTCCCCCAACCCACAGCCACCCACCAGCCACAGCGTTTGTCTGAAGGGCTCAGCTGAGGCCAGCCAAGCTTGTGACACCAGTGAGCCACAAGCCCCTGACCCTGGAGCAATGGGCCCCACACTGAGGTGGGTCAGAGTGCCCAGGACCCCGTGCCCCATCCCTGTGGCTGGGCTCACCTGTGTCGATGGCACACGCGTAGTGGTAGGTGTGGGGACACCCCTTCTGGCAGCAGCCCACGGTGGCTCCTGCTTGCTGGCAGCTCGAGCACTTCTGAACACGCACCCGGGAATTCGGAGCAGGGAAGGAGAGATGCGGAGAGACAGAGAGACCCTGTCAAAGCCCAGCACAGAAGAAGAGAACCACGACAGCCCCAGCAGCGAGGGCAACACGGGTGTGTCCCTGATTCTCTCCAGCCCCTCCTTGCAACATCTTTCCTCCCATGCCAGCACACTGTGAACCACACCATGCCTGTCACTGGCTCTGTGGTGAGGGCAGTAGCCTGCAGACAGCCATGAAATGAGCACACAGGCTTGGGAATACAGCCAGCCCTCAAACCTGGCACTGGGGAACCTGCTGGAAACCCCCTGCACAGCCTCTGATGGGAGGCTGTCCCCTTCCTCTCCCCAGCACTAAAAATGCATGTCACAGAATCCCAGAATGGTGTGGAAGGGACCTGAAAAACACTCATCTCATTCCAGCCCCCTCCCACAGGCAGGAACATTTTCCACTAGAACAACTTGCTCAATCCCCATCCATCTCTGAACACTTCCAGGAACGGGCCAGCCACAACTACTCGTACTTCAGCAACCTCCTTACTTTGCTCACACCTTGCTCCAACCACTGAGGGAGAGAAGCAGGGCAGGGTCATCCCCTCCCTCCAGCTCCCCTTCCCCTGCTCCCCATCACGGTGGCACCAGGCTGTGTTGTGCCCATGTTCATCTCCTACCCTGTGGCATCTGTCCTGCTCTGAGCCACCCTGTGCAACAACACGCAGCTGGGCCTGGGGATGTGACAATACCAGGGGGGCCCAGCTGCCTTCCTAAAGCATAAACTGCAGGTTATTTCTGTGCCTAAAAGGGAGAGTTCAGGTGCTATCAGAGACGCAGCAGCACAAATCTCGTAGGGACCCAGCAGGGCTCACGGTGCTGAGCCCCTGCCTTGCTCTCCCAGGGCAGAACTATCCATTTCCATCCCGCCCGGAGGTGCTCACACGGCAATGGCTTTGGCTGAAGGAGGCCAGCGGAAGATGCCGCCTAGGGCGTGCGGCCGAGCTCTTACCAGGTCGGCAGCCGCCTTGACAGCCTCCTGCAGCCCATAGAGCTTCCCTGCCACCAGGAAAACCCCAGCGGTCCATACGGCACAGGCTTCGTGCAGCCAGT